ACAAAACCATCCTTCCAGTATAGACAGTGTAGTTCAGTGGCACTATTTTAGATTATTATCTGACAAGCTCAACATCCATTTTCAGCTGCGATGGCCTCCTGCAGCCCTCTACTAGCTAAAATGGAGCCCTCCCGAGCTCAGTTTTCGCTGGCAGAAGCACTGTGGGCCTGACCTTTGTGTTTCCAAAGCAGGCCCATGGCCCAGATCTAAGCACCTTGAGTTTGATACCCCTGCCCTAGCAGGTCCTTCCAGGGAAGGCTTGTACTTTCTCCTGTCCTTCTGATACCTGAAGGAAAGGGATACTTTCCATTTCAGGACTCAGTAGCTCAGAAATATTACTTTCCACTCATGAGCCACTTGGCTTCTATTCTCTCTGGATAGCTATTTAAAATAGGACTACACATGTTAACATATTATGCTGAAAAGAAAAAAGAGAACAACTATTTCAGTTCTGTCAACACTAATTAGCACATGATTTACAGCCACCTGGCACCTTTTGTCAGAAAATGTTATAAATATATCCACATTCTCTTTTTTAAAAATAAAAGGCTATAAAACATATAGAAGTGGGAAAGAAGATTTGGCTTGATAATATGTTAATTTATTGCTGTTTGTGTGCAACACTGTATGTTTGTTTATATTTTTGCTCTTTGTGAGAGATGCTGTAGTCAGAGTTTATTTGTGAAAAGTTTCAGGATGCTTGCAATAATATGACCATCCTATCATTTTTGCATATCAGATGTATAATTGACTGAATTGTGCATAACTCTCTCTTTAAGGTATAGATCTAACTCAACTGTGCATCATTCCTTAAAAGAAAAAGCAGAAATCTAGAATAATTGCCTGTTTTTTAAAAAGCTGATATCTTATTAATTGTGTATTGTTCTCCCTTTGCCAATTTAAATAATTATTGTGCATCATATGCACAATTGCTAACTGCACAACAGCTTGTTCAATGAGTCACTAATTTTCTCAGAAGCTGGGATTCCAAGTGTTTGAGATTCTGTTATTGTATGCACGAACAGTTCTCCCCCGCCCCCAGCAGATTTTATCTCTAGAATAGATCTGGATGGCCACTAGATGGCAGGAAGGAGATTAGACATTTTGAAGATGTTACTGGTCATCTAGAAGGCATCTAAAGTTTTGTAGCCCATGAACATAGTAGGAACTAACATTTTGTAATGGGCTGTGAGCAGTGGTGGGATTCAAATAATTTAACAACCAGTTCTCTGCCCTAATAACCTGCTGGATGGGCGTGGCCATGGTGGGTGTGGCCAGGGGGTGTGACAGGCAGCACTTGGCTTCCTGCACCCCCCTGGGAGCAAAATTGGGCTGCAGAGGGGGTACGCGCCGCCCTCCCCCGCAGCCCATTTTGGGCCTAGTAGGCCTCCCTGCAGCCTGAAAGTGAAAACGGGCTGTGGAAGGGCCGCACTGCCCCCCCACGCCCTATTTTGGTCCTAGTAGGCCTCCCTGAAGCCTCCTGGGAGAATAAATGGGCCACGGGGAGTGCGCACCGCACCTCCCCACAATCCCATTTTGGGCCTAGTAGGCCTCCCTGCAGTTACCTGGGAGCCAAAATGGGGCACGTGGAGACTCCTGGAAGGGGCGGGGCAGGGCGGAGCCAGCCAACAATTTAACTACCGGTTCACCTGAACCAGCCCAAACCGGCTGAATCCCACCACTGGCTGTGAGAATAACTTTGAGGAAGAGGAAGAAGAGTAGGAAGAGCCACATTCAAGGCAATAGATAAAAGAAATCTTAGCTCAAAGCAGGAATGGCATTTCAAAAAGTGTCTCAGGTTTGGCCTTCTCTACTTGTCTGTAGGATAAAGACAAGAGGAGAGAGGCACATTCAGAAGTGCAAGAATTTGTTACTGTAACCCTATAACAAAAATAGTTTTAGTATTCCTGACTTTGATGTTCAAATCTCGTCCGACGAGTTAACATAACTGCAGTATATTGTCTCTCCAGAATTAAGTGCCTATGCACAGATTAATGGCAACAGCCTTACATGTGTTTATATGTTCCAGAAACTGGTGAATGTTTGGTACACTTATGTGTTAAGTTATAATGTCACCATAATTTCAACCTGCCATCTGTCGGCGAAATGTCTATGGAGGCTTGGGAGTTCTTGGCTTCCATGATGGCCTTGGACCTGACCCAATTAGTTCAAGGCCCTACTCACACGGGAGGACACACACTGGATCTGATTTTCATCTCTGGTCAGTGGCAGAGTGATCTGGAAATAGGGGACTTAGTCATCGAACCCTTGTCATGGTCTGATCACTCCCTCCTTCGCATGGACTTTCGAACCGCTACCCCTCGCCGCAGGGAGATGGAACCGAGCAGGTGGTTCCGTCCCAGGCGCCTGATGGATCCGGATAGGTTCCGGACGGAGCTTGGGCCATTCCCTGAGGCTCTGGCTCACGGCGCGACTGAAGAACTGGTGGCTGCCTCAGATAGGGCAGCCACTGGAGCTCTGGACCACGTCGTGCCTTTGCGGCCTCTGACCCGGTGCCGATCTCAACTGGCTCCCTGGTTCTCCGAGGAGCTGAGAGAGATGAAGCGCCAGAAAAGACACCTGGAGAGCGATTGGAGGGCCAGTCGCTCTGAATCTGACCGAACACTAGTGAGGTCTCATATTAAGATCTACCTAGTGGCGATAAAGGCGGCAAAATTTAATTGTTTTTCCGCTCTTATCGGGTCTGCAGAGAACCATCCAGCAGCCCTGTTTAGGGTGGCCCGCTCCCTTTTTCACTTGGGAGCGAGGGAAGACCCCTTGCAGGGCAGGGCTGAGGATTTTGTGTAATTCCTGCATGACAAAGTCACTCAGATTCAGGAAGGTCTGGACTCCGATTGGGTAGATTCAGATGGGGTGACGGAGGGGGGTCTTGAGAATATTATCTGGGAGGGGTTTGACCTTGTGACTCCTGAGGATGTGGACAGGATTCCGGGTAGGCTTAGTGCTGCCACATGTTTACTGGACCCGTGTCCCTCCTGGTTGGTGCTGGCCTCCCGGGAGGTTACATGAGGCTGGCTCCAGGAGATTATTAATGCTTCTTTGAGTGAGGGCTTCTTCCCCCCCCTCTTTGAAAGAGGCGGTGGTGAGGCCTCTCCTCAAGAAGCCTTCCCTGGACCTGGCTGTATTAGCGAATTATCGCCCAGTCTCCAACCTTCGCTTCATGGCAAAGGTTGTTGAGAGTGTGGTGGCGCAACAATTGCCCCAGTATCTGGATGAAGCTGATTATCTAGATCCGTTGTAGTCGGGCTTCAGGCCAGGGAACAGCATGGAAACGGCATTGGTCGTATTGGTTGATGATCTCTGAAGGGCTCGGGACAGGGGTTGTTCCTCTGTCCTGGTCCTATTAGATCTCTCAGCGGCTTTTGATACCATCAACCATGGTATCATGCTGTGACAATTGAAAGGGTTGGGAGTGGGGGGCGGTGGTGTTGCGGTGGTTCTCCTCCTTTCTCTCCGACCGTATGCAGTTTGTGTTGGCAGGGGGCCAGAGGTCGACCTTGAGGCGCTTTGTCTGTGGGGTGCCGCAAGGGTTAGTCCTCTTGCCCCTTCTGTTCAACATTTATGTGAAGCCGCTGGGCGAGATCATCCGTGGTTTCAGAGTGAGATTCCATCAGTATGCTGACAACACTCAGCTGTACATCTCCACTCCGAACCACCCCAATGATGCCCTTGACGTGATGTCCCAGTGCCTGGAGGCCATGCGGATCTGGATGGGGAGTAACAAGGTCAAACTCAACCCTTCCAAGACCGAGTGGCTGTGGTTCCCAGCATCCCGGTATAGTTAGCCGGCCCATCTCCCAATAGTTAGCTGACTATTGGGGGAGAGATCTTGGCCCCCTAGCAATTTAGGTGTTCTCTTGGATACACGGCTGTCCTTGGAAGAGCATATGATGGCCGTGGCCACGGGAGCTTTTTATCAGGTTCGCCTGATACACCAGTTGCGTCCCTTTCTGGACCGGGATGCCCTGCGCCCGGTCACTCATGCCCTCGTCATGTCCCGTTTGGACTACTGCAACGCTCTCTACAGGGGGCTCCCCTTGAAGAGCACTCGGAGGCTCCAGCTGGTCCAGAATGCAGCCGTGCGGGTGGTTATGGGAGGCAACCCGGTGCTCCCACGTAACACCCTTCCTGCGCGAGCTACACTGGCTCCTGGTGGTCTTCTGAGTGGGATTCAAGGTGTTGGTGACCATCTTTAAAGTGCTCCATGGTTTAGGATCGGGGTATATAGGAGACCAACAGCCTCCCACCGGCCAATACGCTCCCACAGAGAGGGGCTCCTCAGGGTGCCGTCGGCCAAACAATGTCGACTGGTGATACCCAGGGGGAGAGCCTTCTCTGGAATGAGCTCCCCCTAGAGCGTTGTCTTAGCCCCAACCTGCGTATCTTTTGCCGCTGAAGACCCTTCTGTTCCAGCAAGCCGGACTGGCCTAATACGAATTTTATAAGTGGTGTATGTGTGTTTTAATTTTTGAGCCAAATTCTATATATTTGATTTTAATTGGTTTTAAATTTTGTAAATCTATGTGTTTTAATATGGCTGTACACCGCCCTGAGTCCTTTGGGAGAAGGGCGGTATAGAAGTCTAATTATAAATAAAATAATCCTCTCGTGTGCTTTCCTTTTAAAAAAAAAGATTAATGTCTTCCATAGCTCAGCTCATTTCTTCATTTTTGCGAACATGATAATTGATAGGATGATTGTTTTGGATGAAAACGATGATTCCCTCAGTTAGAAAAATTGTCGGTTTTTATAATATTGATTTATTCATCCCCCCTCCCCGCAGTTAACTGAGTTTGATGAGAATAGATAGAATTTAAGGACTGTAGACTTATTTTTTTTAATAAACATAATTAAAAGGACTAGATTTCCAAGAGATTTGTCTCTTGGTTTGCTCAGCCTTCTGCAAGTCTCTCTTGTGTTTTGTTCCTACATTGTGTGCAGTTGGTTGTCATGGAGGCTGCTATATCAAACAGGTTGCCTAGATCTTTCTGTATGATGATTGTGCATTATTCTTTCAGTGAAAAATCCAATGAATGCCAACAGACCATTTCTGGTTTGTTTGTCTAAACCCTCAGACCGAGGGAGTCTCAGTTTCCTACTCTTTGGATAAAAGAATGAAAATTGACCATCATACAGTTCAAAGGTGCTAGAAAGAGATGTAAGAAACAATTTTTAACATTTCACATAAGGTGTTCTTTCTAAATTCATGAGGAGAAATATACAGATAGGAATCCTGAAATTATCGAAAAGAAGCTTGATGGCACTTGATATGGAAAATATCCCTGTGCATTCCCCAGTGTCTTTAAGTAAGGCTGGAAAATCTCTTGTCAGAGATCATGAAGAACTGAACAGAATCACAACAGAGACACTTCAATGAAATAATGGTTGGACTTGATACTGTTGGAAGGAAAAGATCCGGTTCACTCTCTCCGGCGGGAAAGAGAAAGTCGGTACAATGGACAAAATGAGAAAATGGGAAAGCGAGCTGCTTGGAAAGGAGGTTTCTTTATTTCGGAAGCCAGAAACTGCAGAGACAACAGCGATGGCTTCCTGGTCAGATGGCAACCTGGTCTGGTAAGTGGACAGACTTTTATATTATTTTGGGGCTGTGTGATTGAGATTTCCGGCCTTGTTGGGCAATAGTTTCGAGTGTGTGTCTTTGATTATTCTAATTGTGGCAACTTGGTTTCTATTATGGCTGGGAGGTCATGCCCTGTGTTTGAGGCTGGGGGGGGGGGGAATGCAGATTTTGGTGTCCTTTGTCTCTCTGCTTTTTAATCTGATCAATTCCAGCCTTCTGGGGAGGCTATAGCTGAAGGCGTTTTGTTTATGAACGGAACAGTTTGTGAAACTAAATATCCATTCACAGGGGGCCGCCCACTTGAGTGGTTTTACTTCAGGGAAGGTTTTTCTCTTCCGGGTGGTGGTGGTGGTATATTACTTTGTTAATATGGGAGCTTCCTTATATTAAAAAGGATGGATGGGGATTCTCCCTACAATACTAAACAACTTCCTTAGTTTTTCTTTTTCTCCCACTTTTCAAATACAATATTTATTTATTGTTACAACTGCTGTTGGAAGAATACTTTTTTTATTTTGATGACTTGCCTTCCAACATTATTCACATTTGTTGAATTCCAAAAAGGGTTTTGGACATGGAAAGGACGCCACTGCCTCATACAGTGGTCCAATGCAGAATATAATCTGCTGCTGCTCCTAGTGTTCATTTTCCTATCCTCCCACTTCTTGTTTTTATGCTGTAAAGGTAAAGGTTTCTTCTATCCAGTCATTTTCAATTCTAGAGGGCGGTGCTCATCTCCGTTTCTTAGTTGAGGGAGCCAGCATTATCCAAAATCACCTCCATCATCATGTGGCTAGCATGACTATATCGAAGTGCACGGAATGCTGTTACCTTCCCATCAAAGTGGTACCTATTTATCTACTTGTATTTGCATGGTTTTGAACTGTTGGTGAGCAGGAGCTGGAGCAAGGACAGGAGCTCACCCCATCACGCAGCACTTGAGTCTCAAACCTGAGCTTTCAGCTTTCCAGCTGATAAACTCAGTATCTTTAACCATTGAGCTGTTGCGCCCCTTTTTTTGCTGTACTTATTGGGAAATATATCTATAGGTAGGAATAGCCCTCTTTTTTGATCTGGGAAAAATATAAGTGCTTTGTACATGTTTATTCTTACTATTAGTTCAAAAAATTCCTTTAAAACCCAGGGAAGGGCGACCTCTTCTCCCTATTCCCTGTAGGAAGTTAGCACCCACCCCTCTCCTGGAAGAGTGAAATATTTTAGGAAATATGAAAAAGGCAGAATATTATATTTCCCTGGGATAAGCATGTTTTGAAGCAGCTCCCATCTTCCTGCCCCCATCCTTTGTCAATGGGCCATTAAGGCCTGGGCCAGTCTATTCTACATAACAAAGATCTACCTCCTTCAGGCAGAAACCATAGTAGGAATTGCCGAAGATCCAACAAAGATAGCCCTCTACACAATAGCAACAGAAACTAACACAATGGGACCCATCTAGCCGAGGCTCACCACATGGCACCTGGGAAGATTGCATCAGCCAGCAAGACCCCCCCACCCCCTGGGAGTCTGACAACCAATCAGGATACTCTTTTGGGGCCCCAAGAAATGCAGAGCCAGAGAGAGCATAAAAACCCGAGGATTCTCTGTATCTGGCCCTTTTCCGTTCAGGAACTCAAGCCATGTGATCCTGTCCACCATTAAACCATCTTTCCAAGCAGTCTCCATGTTTCCAGTGTCTGTTTTCCCCACTTGGAGCAGAACCTAGAAGGATGTTTCTTCCAACATCCCTATTTAGATTACTTAAAATTAAGTCTCAAAAGCTATTGTGATTGTACAATATGCTAGCTAAATAGTAGTGGAGGGCTCTGTGAATCTTTGTATTGTGCAAACCCCAGACAATAGTTCTCTGCAGGACAAATCTGGACAATTAATTAATAAATTATAGTTATATAAACATTTTATTAATGCACTGTGGAAGAATAGAAATTATTTGATCCGATTAGAAAGTTGCCATTGGTGAAAAGGAAGAAAGCTGTTTCTGTCATCCCTGAAACAACACATTAACCCAAGATTCACTAACCACACTTTAGCCCTCTGATTTATGTCAATTCAGAATAGTCAGTTTATTATTGCAAATCCAGAAAAAAGACTTAATTCTATAAACCATGTTTAACTAGGGAATAAACATAGGGGACAAGGCAAGCAGCCAAAATCTGCTTTGGAGGATATTCAGACTGATAAAGTCACAAATAAATGGGAAGGGAAAAAAAGATTAGCAAATAATCCGCTCTCTTGATCTGGCAGAACCTCTTTTCAGTGAAATGCTTCTAGTGCTGGTGCTAACTTGTAGTTAAAATAAAAACAGGATTTATACACTACACTTCATATATACTAACCCACAGACCATGGTAAGGCCCAGACGACCATATTTTGTATTAGCATATGTATGAAGCCAATAAGTCTCCTGCCTTACTCTGGGATTAAACATTGTAGAGTTGTTGGCTCAAAAGGATCAGATTCTTAGTAAAATAAGGATATATATTTAACCAGCAATGTACTCGTAGAGAATTATTAAGCTGAAGAACCTTACAAAACTCCAAGGCTAGGATTTCTAAAGAGGAAACGGAAGAGACAAGTTGTTATTTGTACAAATGAGAGAAGATGTATTAGCTGTTACTGTCATCCTGCATATGGGAAATTACTGAAATTATTTTATACAGCTTTTGGACAATAACTTTTCTGAATGGCAGTTTCCTAATAACATTTATAAACTTGGCTAAATGTAGATTCCTCCTCTTCTGATTTGAACATTTAGCATTGCTAAAATTAGAGTTTATACAGAGAATGCAATGCAAACAAAGCAATTTCTGCGTTGCTTAAAATAAATAAGGGTCATTTGAACTGTTCTAGTTCAAAGCCAATGTTCCTTGTTAATAAAGACTTGCAATATCAATGCCAGCACTTTTAAATAGCCCTTTTCGTTGTAGAAAATTTGGGGGTGGACTGAGTTTTGTTTTCTTTAGATCAAGTACATTCTAGGGAAGGCTATTTCCTGACAATTGATTTTAAAAACAAAACACTAAATGATTAAATCCATTCATAAAGCCTCCTTATTTAAAACTTCCTCTCCATGGTAGCATAAACTAATGCTGAAAAACATTTGATTGCATTGAGCAAAGGCTCTCTCTGCCAAGCCCTAAATAAATGGAAATGCTTGTGTTCAGTGAAACAGGATAGTAGAGCATGGTAAAAATGGGTATTACAAAGAGTTCAATTGGACATCATTTTCCAACTTAATTCAAAGCCTAAAATGAAGTTAGCTCATTCAGTCTCCTGTATTCAAGGGTCACCAACTTTCCATCTTTCCTCCTTTCTGGTTTGTGTTTTTAACATCTTCAAAAAAGGGAAACATTCAGTAGAAGTTTTTGCAGCATCCTGGAAAGAAGGCATCAGTTTTGACTTTCACAGTATCATGGAGCTGTTAAGGCACAAGAAAACATGAGTACTTTTCTCCAGCCTCATAGCTTTCTCAAGGTTTGCTGACGTGGGTGAAACCTGTAAAGTACAATAAAAAGCCTGATTTTCAGAGCATGGTTCTAATTAGATTTGATTTTCCCTGATCTAGAACGTCAGGGTAGTTTCCATTGCAGGATCCAGAATTCCTAGCCTGTGTAGCTACTGAGTAAACTGACCAGATCTGGGCTGCAAACATTCATACAACCTTTAGATGGCAGCAGACAGACAATTCTTGTTGACGTTTAGTGGTCATCCAGGTTTTTGCAATCCAATTTTAGCAGCCCTATTATAGAGGGATTTTTTAAAAAATAGATTATGGATTCTAATTACCTAACTTACATGAGAAAAATATTATTTGCAGTTGCTCTTATTCAACAGTTGGAAGTCAGATACCCAATAGGCCAAGGCAGGAAACAGACTCTACAGGTTTGTGTGGAATTCTGCTTTAGGGATAAAGGCTGTAGCACCCTTCTTCAGCTGGTGATTAAAATAAATGTTTTTTCAACTTTGCACATTCACGCCATAGTGAATGACTTATCGTCATGACTCAGCTGCTCGTCTGCCATTTTGTTGTATATGTTGTAAATATGGTGGGCTGTATAGGTTACAAATAATTGCTTGGTAACTGCTACTATTTTGGTTATGAATCTATTTTCTAATTTATGAGTACTACAATCAACAATGTTGTAAAAAGTATTCATTTTCACACTTTCCTTCAAAATATTCAGTACCATTTTCATTATTTATTGTCATTTTGTGTATGTTCAAGTTTACCAAAATACTTTTTGGTCAACAGATTCAGATCTTACTTGGCTACTTCAAAAAGGTATTGGAAACAATGCATTAAGTAATTTTCATTGATGCTTTTATCATCATAGTTTTCTACCCTAATAGACATGTTATATATATACACGTTTAAAATATGTTAGTACTTTCAATAGAAAGAAAGAACTAATGGTCTAATTGTGTAACCCAATAGTTTCTGTTTCCAAATGATCAAATTTTTCAAAAGGGAAAAATATACTGATTAATTTGTGTCTGGAAATAATGTCTTCTTTGTCTGGATATACACCCATAATTGAATGCGTCTGATCCATTGTGAAGTAATAGGTGTTTCAAAGAAATGCCTTTATCAGTCTGAGAAATATGCCCCTTCTTAAAAATATGCAACCCATGTGAAATCAAAATATTTCTTTGCCTCAGATGCGCCAGAATTGCATGTATTGTAGACAAGTGGAATTAGCAAAGTAGTAAGGAAACAAAATGTTTTAGTCTCAAGTTTTTTGTTTGTTTATATTAAATCAAAGCTTGAATAATATTGGAAATGCTTTTCATGCTAAATCCTCCATCATATAACAGCAATTATCTTGTCAAATGTTGTCAGTCAGTCAATGTTAACAAATTTTTAGATGTTACAGTTTGAGTACTTTATGAGTGAAGCTCTAAAACAGTCAATTATTTTTTCTGTTGGTTTCAGGTTTGCAAGATAAAAATCCGATGCAGCAGTCAAAAGTATCTAGAGCTGTGTTCTCTGACCTGTATCTTCTAAATGTGTTAGACTGTAATTTCCATCATTCCTCAGCCAATATGAGCAGAGATTTGGTCCAATCTGGGAACTTGTAATACAACACATCTTGAGATCTTATGATTGGAGAAGAATGAGTCATTCTAGTGACTCAGGAAAAAGTAGACTTCAGTTGATGGAAAATATTACAAAAAGATGTAGACAAGAGCATGAAGGAAATATCTATGTATATCAAAGTGAAATATCAAAGTGAAATAAGGAGACACATTGAGAATTATAGAGTATATAGCCAGTTTGGACTAGCTCTGTAGACCCCTGGACTCCAGGGAACCCGTGGACTTTGTGGATCCCGGGGGGGCTGCGATGTCATCACAGGGATTCCACGAAGGCTTGAAGAAATGTTATGATTTAAATCTTCAATTAAATCTTGGGGATCCATGGCCATGGTACATGGCCACAAAAGGTATTTAAAGGGAGTCCATGGTGGAGAAAAGTTTGAGAACCACTGATCATAAGGTACCAGGGTAGAAAACTGGAGACTGTGAATTCTAGTTCTGCCTTAGCCATGAAAGCCAACTGAGTGATTTTGGGCCAGTCGCTCTTCCTCAGTCCAACTGACTTCACAGGGTTGTGGCGAAAATAGGAGGAGGAAGATATGCTGGTTGTTTGCTGCCTTCAGTTATTTGTAAAAATAATAAAGATAAATATTTTATTATATTATATATTAATCAATTATTCTGGCTTTATGCAGTATTCTAAACTAATCAAATCAATCCCTTTTTTCATTTAGTGGAAGAAAAATGAAGGCCAGCTTCCAGAGCTGACAGTTGTTTCTTAAATAAGTTCTTTAACCCCATTATATTTCATGTAACATAGAAAGGGATACAAAAGAACCATTTTACTCCGAATCCCATTAGAATTCAGAAAAATTCTAGAATATTGTCCTTTACAGCAATGCCTCTTGATTCACAGCTGGGCTCACATTGTACCTTAAGCCAAGCCTGTATAAAATAAGAGCCAGTTTGGTCTGATGGTTAAGCATGAGGCTAGAAGCTGGGAGACTGTGAATTCTAGTGCCACCTTAAGCACAAAGCCAGCTGGGTAACTTTGGACCAATCACTCTCTCTCAGCCTTAAGGAGGAGACAATGGCAAATCCAAAATCTCACCAAGAAACTTGCAAGACTGACTTGAAGGCACAATAGCAAGTAAGATATGGGATCCTGTTCTGCTCTATTGAGTTACAGGGATTAGAAGAGAAGAGACAGATGTGTAAACTCTGAACCAGAAAAAAAATAATCAAGACACCAAAGAATTTTCCAACCCCGTTTGTTGGTGAAAAGGCAGTAGAGTAGTCCTTTCCCAGCAATCACTTGTTCAGGGAGCATTTGAAATTATGATAGCACTGAAGAAGAGACTTCTGACTGGTCCTCATAGTTACAGGCTTTACAGCATTCCTGCAGTCATGTCTGTAATTTGTGTGCTTAGTGACTGGCTCACAATGACACTACAATGTGCTCTGATTGTCATTTCTGACCTTCACTGCCAGCTTTTGTCAGGCAGGATTTACCTAATAAGTAAAGATTAAGTCAAGAAAAAGACCATGGCCCAGGCAAAAACCCCGAATATTTAGAGAAACAACCACTTATTCAGCTTCTTGTATGGAGCTCAAAGACAGGCACCCCAACATTTTCCCCAGGGACCATTTCAGCTGTGAAATCCGGCCAGATCTATCCAGCTCGCGTGAACCGGTAGTGCCGATGGCGGGAGGCTCCACCCACCAGCCAGGACGTCATTACATCCCATTTTTGATCCTCTGCACATGCACAGAAGGCTCTGCACATACGCAGAAGAGGCGCACAGGTGCTCCTGCGCGCTCCCGTTCCTGAACTGGTAGCAAAGGTAAGTGGATTTCACCCCTGGACCATTTCTATTGCTCTCACTGCCCTATAAAACTTCCAACATCCATCCCTTTCCAGTCTCAATTCCCAAGGAAATTATATCTTCCAGGGATGCTAACTAGGCAGTCTAGCACCTTAGGGTGCTCTATTGTTCCATTTGAGAGTAGCAACACAACACAGAATTCAGAGCTGGGATGCTGAAAATTAGAAATTGAAATCCAGTCTGAAGTTGACATGTGGCTTGGTTCTCTTTCAACCCCCATTTGCTGGCCTGAGCCTTGCTTTTAATAAGGGCTTCTGTGTAATGGATCTTCATTCTCATCTTCTGACATGTCCTACTCTTCTGAGGAAGATCCAAAGCAAACATAATGGAGCTACCAACTTGGAGCAAAATGATATAGTAGAGATGATTGCTGTTCCCTTCAATATAAAAAGTGTTGTAAATGTCAGTTATAGTTGTTGGGTAACATGAAGCTTTGTGCATTGCTCAAGGGATTCTTGTACTCATCCGATTTACTACTATAGGGAATGAAATATTGAATTTGGCAGTCATTTAGTCAGACCAGCACAGCTCTTCTTAAGAACTTCAACATCAGCTGATATATATTGCATTATACCAGTAGCTAAATTTCTTTTAGTATAAACAGAGAATTAGTTTCTGGGAATATTCAGTACTGTATACAAAATACCACCATACCTATAGTTAAAGAGACTATAGAACACATGCATTTTCTCTTATCTTCCTATATAATTCTGTCCTAAAAGAAATCATCTATGGATATTAATATAATTTAACATTGTGATACATTGTAAATGGTACTGACAAATGTTCCTCTTGGAAAGAAATATTGGACTTGAAAACTGTGTTCAATGACATTTTAATAACTGGAGTACTCGAAAGCATAAATGTCAGGGAAGACAATTCTTTTTCATTACAGGTCTACATGCTATATTCCACAATATATTATGATTTCAGACTCAGAGTAGGGAAGTAATTGATAATTTAATAAAATAACAATAATGTAATAATCTATGTGTATATTTATATTAAAAAGTGTATTAAATGTTATGAAAGGATGAAAGTGAAGCATGTACATTTAAAAGTTTCTATAAATGCATTGCCACCTGTATCTAAAATAGGATTCTTTCCATGTGTTAGATTTGGATTTCCTATAATTGCTGTCTGTAGACAGACTTCAATTCCTGCAGATAGCCATGCTAATTGAAGGCTTATAGCAGATGAAATCCAGCTCAAAATACTGTGTACTGGAATCAAGGTTGACTCAGCCTTCCATCCTTCTGAGGTCGGTAAAATGAGGATCCAGTTTGTTGGGGGCAATAGGCTGATTCTGTAAACTGCTTACAGTGGGCTGTAAAGCACTGTGAAGCGGTATATAAGTCTAAGTGCTATTGCTATTGCTACTGGAGAAAACTAGTTTAGTTGTTTGAAACTCCATCATCCATATCTGTATGTATATCTGTATTAGAAGTATTCTACATGTTTATATTGCTGAGAATTCAAAACAATGCAATGGGATTGTTGCATTCTTACAAAAAATACTCTAAAAATGTGTCATCCTAGAGAACTCCTCTATCATAGAGAATACCTCTACCAATGATCTAAGACTCAGTACAACACAGTAAGCCAAAGTCTAGATACAAATGTGTACTTTGGCCTATGGCATGCATCTTAGAATTACTGTGTAATCTTAACCTGGAGTGACTATATTTACATTTTCAGAAATTGGAATTTGAAATCAAGGCCTGCCAAAAATACCAAATTCCAGTGTCTGTCACCCCCAAATAACAGCTACTTTAGGTTTAGACATTTTATTTATTTATCAAATTGATGTAGCCGTTCATCTCAACAAAGGTGACTATGGATGGTGCATAATACTTTGACTAGTTTGTAGCTTACTTGTTTGTTTGTTTGCTTGCTTATTTATTTATTTTAACTCCAACTCATTGATTGAACTTCATGAGTTGCAGATATTTCAAGTAAGACTTAGCAAAGGTGGTTCAGTTCAATAAAGATTTGTGTAAGCCATCCCTTCCAACTTTCTTCATGAAGCTAATGTAATATTCCCACTTCTTTAAATAAGTTAAGCAGCCTTGTTGCTTTCTGAGCCCTCTGTCAGTCAACTGCTAGAGGCTTGGTAGAGGCTTCTGCATGGTTCCAGCCTATGTACAATCAGATCAGATCCACATCTCAATGACACACTGCTGTGATTTCCATGGTTTCTGCTTCACACATTCCTAATCATTTTTGCTGAAAAAAAGAACTCTTTGTACTGGGCCATCATAGCTAAAAGAAACCCACAGTTGCTTTGGATAGTGAGATGGGCAGCATATAAATTTAATAAATAAAATATCTGGAGTGCTGATGACCACTAAATGGAATAGCAATAGCATTTATACTTATATACCGCTTCACAGTGCTTTACAGCCCTCTCTAAGCAGTTTGCAGCCAGCCTATTAGCCCCAACAATCTGAGTCTTCATTTGCAATTAATATAGTTTTTCTTAGGATTTTTGCAACCCAGATGAGGATGACCCTAATAAAAGGTATTAGAGAAGTGAAAAACACAACTGCATATGGATGGAAACATTGCTTTACAAAAAAAAAAAAAAAATCCTAAACAGGAGTAAATTATTTTCTTTAAAATTTAGTCTGAGTTTCAATCCAGCTTCTGGGCCAATTGTGGTCTTCTCATTTGGCTTAGTAAATTGTATGAATCCAGCCATTATGGTTTGTAAAGTGCTGATTAATATACTATTTAATAAACCCAGCTGATTAGTTAATACATGGTTTGCTGAGAATGATATGCGAATATATAGTACAGGAGGTGCAATTGCAGTCATATTTCCATGGAACTAATTTGGTGTAGTAGTTACAAGTGCTGAATTAGAAACCAGGAGACTGTGAATTCTAGTCCTGCCTTAGGTTTGAAAGGCAGCTGGACACTCACAACTGGGTGAAAGTCAGTATCTGACTTTCTGTCTCAGCCCAATCCAGCTCACAGGGCTGTTGTTGTGGGGAAATAGGAGGCAGGACCAATTATGTATACTTCCTAGGTTGTATAAAAATAAATGTGGGCTGTCCATCTACTAAATAAGTATTCCTGTGTTAATTGATGCTCCAGAGCTGAAATTACTGGGTGTCGGATGGCATATTTGACAGAAAATTAACATGCTCCTTTTAACAGTGGACTACCAACCAGACCTTCTAAAACAGTGATTCTCAACCTTCCTAATGCCGCGACCCTTTAATACAGTTCCTCATGTTGTGGTGACCTCCCCAACCATAAAATTATTCCTAAAACCATTGAAAATATGTGTTTTCCGATGGTCTTAGGCGACCCCTGTCACAGGTTGAGAACCACTGTTCTAAAACAAAAACAGGAAAATTAAAATACAAGAGAAATAAACACCAATGAGTTAGTTTGATATAATAGGACGCTTATTGCCACGACCGATTGATCAAAAAAGTTTGCGAATCTTAAAACAGCTCGCTCTGAAAATCCACTCTGTTGCTTGTGTTAAATTATCCTCAGTTGCTTCCTTCTCTTCGTCTTCCCCGTCCCCGTCGACACCCTCCCAACCTTCGCTCCCTCTGTTTCATCAAGCCCGGGAAAAGCAAACCACGTGCCGGCGCCAAAGGCGCTTCTCTGCGTAGCGATAGTAAGCAACCTCCATCTTTGCAACGGGCAGCTAAATTTGGCCTCAGCCCTATTGAAGCAAGCCCTTCAAGTCAGCCATTTTAGCGAGGGGCGGATGCCCTAACTGGAAGGGAGCGGCGGCCATTGGAGTTGAGGGTAGCTTTGCTTCACATCCATTGAAAGCTCAGAAGGCGGGCTGTTTTCTTAAGGGCAAAGGTCCGCGATAGGAGCTGGCCGATACGACCTTTCTTCTCGCTCTCGAAACAGATGTGCCTGTCAGAGGCGCCAGCCTGGCTTCCTCGCTGCTCATTTCGCGCACCCGCTCTCAAAGCGTTTAAGTGGGAGGCATTGGGAGCAGCTGAAGAAATCCAGTAACCTGTGAGTTAAATCTGGCTTTTACCAAGGCAGTGAGTGGCTGAATGAATGAGAGTGGTTCCCCTCCCTTTTCGTAACTCCCATCTAAAGCGTCTTTTTTGGAGGGGTGGGGGGGTGAGGAGGGCGCCTTTCGCAGGTTGTTTAAATGCGGCTCTCGGTTCCTGGCCGATCAGGGTTTATGAAAGCGACATCCCAAATACCTACCCAATTCTGGGGGGAGAAAATCTTAGAAAAGGGGCTTCATAATTGCCTCTGGAACGATGCATGGCTTTTTCTAGCCCCTGCCTGCGTTGCTTACTGCTTAGGGAGAAGCATCTTTTTTTTGTTGTTGTTGAAAACATTTTTGTTATTTTTAAAAAAAACATAAACATAAAATACATCTTTTAAGAACGGAGGACTGATCGGGTCATGAATAGGTACAATCGCTTACCCCTCTTTGTCAAGCTCATTCCCAAATCTCCACCATTGCATCTTTTAAAATGAAAGCAAAAACAGATTTTTTTCCCCACAGTTATAATCTTAATCTAAACATTTACCTTTCTATTATATCACCACAAATCTTAATTTCAAAATAACACAACTCAATATTTAATTAAAATTATTACCCTAAATTCTATCTATATACCGATATCCTAAGACCCACTACCTTAAATCTTTTAAATCCTAATCTCTTTTGGTTTACCCCACTTATCACACATTACACTCTTCATTTTACAGTCATTTCATTATTACAATCTTGTCATCTTCATTTTACTGTTCATATCAACATAGTCACCTTTATTTTAAATACTAATCCCAACATAATCATTTTATTATTACTATCAATTACAGCTTAAATCATATTTGTTTTAGCTATTTATCTCTTGATCATCTTCTTTTGGCTGTTTGGGAGAAGCATCTTGTGGCATCGGTTGTAGAAGTTTGTAGAGATTCTCGGTCATCCAGGTCATTAGTTATCCCAAAGATGC